ATCAAAGTAGTGGGAAAAAAAGGAAATCCTGTTACACAAACCCCTAACGAACAGGAAAAGAGGTAGACCCAGGCTGAGATTGTTGGATTTAGTTAAGACTGATTTCCTTACTCTAAAGGAGAAAAACTGGCGAACAAGTGTCAAAAGTAGAGAGAAGTGGATTCGAATTCAAAGGAAGGCACTGGCCCATCCTGGGCTGTCTAGCCAGATATGATGATGATGATAAACTACAATTAAATGTACTAAAATTATCTATATATTGTTCACATTAAAAGGACTTCAATAAATAAAATGATTATAACTCTTAACTAAAAGTAGTAAAAGAAATTTTATATATTCTCGATACTACTTAAAACATATAATTTTAATATTTATTTAACCATAAACTAAAATTAAATGCAATTTTTTCTTTTATTGTTCTTATTAATTAGAGTGGAAAGAAATTTTTTGTTGCACTCATAAAACTTTTAAATTCATAACTAAAAGTAATAGAATATGACCTATCCGTTTTAGATACAAGTGGAAAATAAATAACTGAATAACCACAAAGTAAATTTCAATGCAATATTTTCGATTTTTTGTTCATATTAAATGGACTGGAATAAATAACGTTTGTCGTCATTATTGAATATTTTTAATTTATAACTAAAAATAATAGAATATGATTTATTCATTCTAGATATTATATATAATTTAAAAGATAATTAGCTATTAATTAAAGTTAAATGCAATTTTTTGATTTATTGCTGATATTAAATGGGCAGAAATAAAAAAAAATTGTTGTGTATATTAAATTTCCCTGCGTGTGATTAAAAATAGTAATCAAATTATTTTCTGAAAATATTAAAACATTTGAAAATTTTCTAATGAGTTAAGAAAATAAATTTCTGAATTTTCTGAAGAAAAATAATGCCAATAATTTCTCAATATTTAAAAAGGCAATGATTTAAGATGAAGAGATAAAATAAGATAACATAGATTTTTGTCTATAAACGAAGTTTACTTTCCCTTTTCTGCTGCAATTAACTTGTTTAAATGCACAAGTAAAAAATAAACTAATTATTATGTCTATTTTTAAAAGCAACTTTCACGCAAAAGTCCTGATTTTAGAGAAATCTTTAACAAATAGATTTCTTAATAAATTAAAACTAAAATTTTTTAGATTGTTTAATAAAAAATGATTTAAAATGTCTTTTATATTTAAGGCTTTCCTTACTATTTATCAGTAATACTTACTGAAACTATTATAAACTAATTAATAAAAATCTATGTTTCCTAGATATATGAAAAAGAAATCATGACAATTCTGATTCTATTAAAAAAAAAAGAAAAAGAAAAAAAGAGGAGCAAGAAAGAAAAAGAAATGGCGAAATAGCTAGCGTTAATAATTTTTTCATAATTATTTTTTCAATGTAAAAGCATTTTATTTTAGAAGAAATCGTGTTTTAAATACATAATTAGCACAACAAAATTATTTTTTGCTAATAAAATGAAATGAAAACATGTTATGTACCTGTTGATGCCTAGGAGCCATCTCACAATTAACTCGTTTTTTAATTATGAAAAAAATGGTTAGGAAAAAAACTAATGTAAATGAGAAGTCCAATAACGAACACGACAAAATATATCCTCTGGTGGGACTGACTACTGAACAAATACCCCTTTTCACCCACCTCTCCCCCAAACTGCCCCCTCTGGTGGCTAACTTGTCAGCATTTCGAAATAAAAAGAATATTCAGCCTTTTGAAATTTAAAATATATCATCAAACATCTGGCAATTTTTCACAAACCAAACCATATATCAACAATACCGGTTTTTTAATTCCCTCTTTCAGTTTTTGAACCTTTTTACCAGCTTTCGATTCGATTTAACGAAAATGACGTTTTCATCAATTGTTTTAGGCAAATAATAATAATAATAATAATAATAAAAAAAATAAAAAATAAATGAATAAAAAAAATTAAAAACAGTTAAAGAAAAATTTCCTTTTTTCCAGTTTAGTATAAATTATTTTATTAAGAAAATATGTTAATTCTTTTAATGGCAATTTTGAAGGATTAACACTAAGCACGGAAATGAGCGAAAAATTTTCATTTATCATTGTTACTTATAATATTAATATTTTTTTAAATTTCTTTTCAAACGAAGTGTAACTACTTTAAAAAAATTACTTCCCTTCATTGATAAGAAATTTTTGAAACCCAAGAGTTGCGATTTAGCTGATATAGGTTGGATAAGTCATTTAAAGTCGAGTTTAATAAAGCAATCTTTTATATTTATCAAATGTAATACTGTCTAATTCTTTTAGTTTAACTAAAATAGCTGCACGCTTCCTGCCAGCTTCTAACTTTCTTTAACGAAATAATTTTAAATAAACTTTATAATTGTTAATTTCGAAAGAAAGTAGAGCGAGAAAAAATACGGCCAAAACTTTTGCTCTATGGGAACACTCTCGGGAAAATTCATATGAAATTTCTCAGTAATTTTTAACGACGCACTTTAATGATTTTGGTAAAATTAACAATAAAATATTCTTTCATAATATATGATAAAATTTAGTAAATGTGATAACATTCAGTAATTTTATTATGATACCCTACGGCATGGCATTAAACTATTTATTCGGTTAAATTTACTTTTCTGTTTTGCATTTTCTACTAAATGTGTGGTAATCAGAACTTTTATTTATAAAACCAAAATTTCTAGCAAAACCATTACTATGTAAATGGAGAAATACCCTAATTAATGGTTTAAATACATTTGTTGATTTTCCTCATCGAAATTATTCTTTTCATTTATTCATACATATGTCCACCATAAATGCCACTACAAAATAGTGCGGTAATTTTACCTGATTTTTTTCCACGTAATATTAAGTTTCAGAATTTAAAAGGATTATTCTAATGGTTAAAGAGCATAAAAAATAATTAGGATTAAAATTTGTTTTTAAAAAAGTTTTAGAATTGACTAGGTTAAAACTTCACAAAAGTGAATTGTAATCGGGATGAATAATTGGAATTACTAGTAAAGACTAAGTATTGCGTTTCTGTAACATTTGTTTACTTATGTTATGAGCTTTAAAATAGTAATTAATTATTTTTTTTCTCCTTAGTTATAGATCTCCGCAGATTTAGACCGCAAATACCTCTTTTGAGATTTAAAAAAAAACGTATTTAAAGCTTGCTATTGTGTCCGTAACAAGCAGGCTGAAACAATAGTAAGAAAACAAATATTTTTAAAAAAATATTATATATGAAATATTTTGAATATTATATGTCCTTTGAAATTAAAAATATAGGCATTTAGTATGCATGATATTACCATAAATACCCAGTTGTGATAATGAAAGGATTTTTTTTCTATGTTACGTGTAAACAATTTAATGCAGAAAAAAAAATTCCACATCAATAATTTCCTTATTGATGTGGAGTTTTTTTTTTCTCCTATTGGCCGGTATATGAATCACTGAAACTATTAAAAAGATATTATAGAAGATTTAATATATAACAATGGGTCTCAGATTTACATTTTTTCCGCTATCGCGCATAAATTCCGCCTTGCAGTGGTGATTACTCTAATATCACTCTGTAAAAATTTCCTAACTAGAAAAAAAAAGTGAAATAAAAACCAACACACACATTTACATTCCATGAAGTTTGCATCTTCTGTAAAATTAATCTCTCTAATTATTTGAGCTTTTAAATAATATTTAATGCAAGGATGAGAACTACATAAGATTAAAATGTACTACCCGCATTTAAAAATACCACCTTGGCATTTAAAAATACCACCTTGCTTGAAAATGGCAAATCTGTTATCAGATGTTGCAGTAAACTTTGTAAAGTAAATGATACTTTCAGTTGTTCTGTTTTCCCAGCACGTATCATTCAAGATTAAAGCAATAATAGAAGTGTCAAATCCACACTCACCACAGGTGCGCATCTCACAAATTTAAAGAACTAATTTCACTCAAAAAGTTAAACTCATTCATCAAAACCACCCACAACAGTGGCGGATCTTTGGTTTCCAGCTGTTGCGTTCGTTATCAGTTGTGAGGAGGGGCATTTAGGAAGTAAATTATGAATATCAATCCGTATTGTGTGTTATTTATTCTTCAGTACCTA